CATAAGCCCGGCTCCGGTCATCCTCACTGGCGCGCAGCCGCTGACTCATGTCAACCATGCGCATCATCGCCTGCAAATAACAAAGGGGTGAGCACCACAGATGAATTACATTTGTAAGGTGTGACAAGGGAAACTTACCGAGCCCAGCTCGTGGAAAGTATCCGAGGCCAGAGTCTCCCGGTCGATATCTTTTATCTTGACGCGATCAGTTGGAGGAGTGAAGCGGCGCAGGAAGGTCTCCGGGTCGTAGTCCCGATCTAGGAAGGAGACCCGAGCGGGGAAGGCTGCCTTGACGTATTTAGGATGGCCGAAGTCCTTCATCATGGGGGACTCGGACCCCTGCGGGGCGTCGGCGGCCGAGGCCGTTTCCTTCCTCTTCTTCTTCTGCACCGTCTCGGGTGTCGGCTTCACGGGTGGAGTCGGGGGACGGCCGCCCGAGGTAGGAGCTTTGGAGTTGCCGCTCGGAGCGTCCAGAAACATGAGCTTCACCCGCTCGCCGTTGGAGAGCATGATTTCACCTGCACAAAACAAAGAAGACAAGTGGTGAGGCAAGAACTTAGCCGCGAAGAGAAGAGGGGAAATCCGAAGCAGTCGCGACCCACGGACGGCCGAGCGTAAGAGATTGCACTGACCTGAGGGGCCTTCTTCGATGCTCCGCTGAGTGTCTTCCGGGGACAGGAAGACGAAGCCGAGCGCCGCCAACGCCTCGTTCGTCACAAGCGAGCCAACTTCGAAGGGGCCCCCACGGCAGAGCGTCTCCACATCCTCGAGCATCTTGTCCGAAGTGACGCACGCGGAACGGCGACGGAAGGAACTGAGGGGCTCTTTACGAAAGGGGGAGCCCGAGGAGATAGGAACGAAGACGAATTTCCCCTTCCAACTCTTGGCGGAGTCCTTCCGCGTCTTGAAGAGCTTCTCTTGCCTTTGGAAGATGGAGGCATACGAGCCCGAGTCGGAGTTCGCCCGGCCAGACAACTTCGCCAACTGGAAGAGCAGCAAGAAGCGGGCCAGATCGGGGCGAACCCCGGTCCTTTTGCATTGAATAAGGAACCCCGCCAAGTATCGATGGGATTTGGGCACGACTTGGCAGGGGAGAAAATCGAAGTGGATGAAAAAATCTTTGACTAACTGATGGAGGGGGAAGCGGAACCCATACTCGAGGGACTTGAGGTGGATGGCGAAGAAACCCGGAGGGGCGTCAAAGACTGACTACTCGGGGGTGGGACGGCGCACGGTCACACCCGGCGCCGAGGCTAGGCGCTTCGCCTTGCGCAACTCCTCGCCGGTAAGGGTGCACTTCCGCGCTCGGATCCCCGAGTCCTCGAGGGTGGTCCGCCTCTGGTTGCGAGGCTCGGACTGAGGAGGGACCTCGACCGCCGCGACTATCTCCTCGACGGAAGCCGAGCGGGAGTCGCTGTCCTGCGCGGAGCCGATGACAGAGCCATCGAAATCGCGCTCAGACTCGGACTGACGAAAGACTGAGGATTGGGAAGGCATGGAAGAACAAGGACGAGGAAGACTAACCTAGTACGGAGCCGGAAAATGGACGAGAACGACGGCGTGAAGGCTAGCGACGGCGAAGAGTCCTACTTTCTCTCTCTAAAAAGTGGAGAATGAAGAGGGTAGGGTTGATATTTATAGAGGAAGGGTTGAATGGGTGCCATGATGGGCCGCCACTTGGCCTAGGGAGGCGAAACAGCGCACCCCTTCATGATGGCGAAGCCCAAACGGCACCAATGGCCTGCCAACTACTCCATGTGGGCCCCCGCGCCGCTTTCCTACAGTACCCGTACTCTCTCGTGTTCCATCGCCGATTGGAACGAAACCCGGAGAGTGGGGGGCTTATGATGGAGGACGACTCCAAAAGGCACGTCAGCCGGGCCCCATCAGCCACGTGGAAGATCTTCTCTGCTCGGCCCATGAGCTCGGCTCGCCCTATGGGCTCGGCTCGGCCTGCGAGCTCGGTTGGGGACCGTGATAGCGACCGCCGGATAGCGACCGGCCACGTTGACTGCGCGATAGCGACGGGATGAAAGGGACAACGCATAACAGAGATGACGTCCGCTAGGCGACGAACCTCGATCAGAGAAACTTTGACTATGTGTATTGTATCCCCTATAAAAGGGGTGAGACCCCTCATTGTAATGGATCCAAGTTGAGAAAAAATAAACTCCTACTTTGCATTCTCTCTCTCTCTAAAACTTATATTATTCTTTATTCTCGGTGGTTTATAGCCATCAAAGGCTTCATGTGGTGTACGGTTGTGAAGGGTGGTGGTGGGTAATAAATTAAAAACATGAGTTGCCATATGAAGGGCTTCAACCCAAAATTGAGGTGGGAGATTGGCTTGAAAAAGTAGGGTGCGGACTGTGTTATTTAAGGTGCGGATGGTGCGTTCTGCGCGCCCATTTTGCTGGCTAGTATATGGGCAAGAAAAACGGAAGAGAATACCCAAGGACTCAAAGAAAGTGGCTAGTGGATTATTTCTATATTCTGTGCCATTGTCGCATTGTACAGCTTTAATACTAGTTTGAAATTGATTTTTGACCATTGCATGGAATTTTACAAGATGGGAGTAAGAATCAGATTTGTGACGTAGAGGAAAAATCCATAAATAATGTGAGAAATCATCTAGTAAAATCATATAAAATTTAAATCCAGTAACACTAGGAACAGGCGATTGCCATAAGTCTGTATGCATTAATTGAAATGGAAAAAGAGATACACGACTCGAGGACTGAAAAGGAAGGCGAACATGTTTGCCTAACTGACATACATGACATAAAGAGTCTAACTGAGATTTATTAAAACTATCAAAAGAAGAAGAGACGCCATGGAGAACTGCGGGGCTTGGGTGACCAAGTCGGCGATGCCACGTGGACAGGTCGACTTTGGCTAGATGAAAATGTGCTGGGGGTTGGCCTGGAGATAGCGGGTAGAGATGTCCGTCACTACTGGATCGATGAATCACGGCTCTCGTCTGTTTGTCCTTCACAGAAAAACCGGAAGAGTCAAATTCAACGGAACAGTTGTTATCACGAGTAAATTGACGGACCGAAATAAGGTTATGGATAATATGAGGGGAGACAAGGACATTTTTCAGGGAAAGGGGAGGGTTTGTGTTAAGGAGACCGTTACCAGAGGCCGTAGTGCACACTTTAGATGCATTACCTACAATAATATGAGAGGGTGAATAAATGTTTGAAGAAAATACATGAGATAAAGTACCTGGGTCAGCGGTGATATGGTGAGAGGCTCCAGTGTCCATGATGTTAGAATAAGTGCCCTTCACTAGAGGGGGGGGGTGAATAGTGAGGCACGAAAATGTTTATAAATTTCTGCGGAATAAAAATCGCAGGGAAAAAGTAAAGAACGTAAAAAGTAAAGAGCGTAAAAAGCGTAAAGAGAGCACACCAAGATTTATACTGGTTCACCACAACGTGTGGCTAGTCCAGTCTCCCGAGAGACTCTCTCGAGCTACACTACTTCCGTTAAGCTTACGGGTGCTTAACAAACCGTTACAACCTGAGAACTCGAGTCCCACGAGCCTCAATACACTTGCTCGGAGATACCGCACTCCAAGACTTCAACTCGAAGGAATATGCCCTTCCTTCGTACAACCAAGGGAACAAACCTCCCTTAAAGTGTTCACAACACTTAA